GTAATCAGGCATTGGAATGGCCTACCCAGAGAGGTGGTGGATTCACCATCCCTGGAGGTTTTTAAGCAGAGATTGGATGTGGCCCTTAGTGCCATGATATAGTAATTGGAGTTGGATCAGGGGTTGGACTTGATGATCTTGGAGGTCTTTTCCAACCCAATCTATTCTATGATTCTATGATTCTATGATATCAGAATTCTAAATGATGTAAGATGAACTTGCTGATGCCAGCAGTTGAACACTAATGCCTACCGATATCAGCTGACAGGACACTAATTACTAGTTACTAGAGATGATTGCTTGGCAAAGGATCTATTCAGTGAGTTATGATTTTGAAAAATTATAAAGCGCAGGCCTGGTCTGTGAAAAGATACGCGGTATGAAAATACAGCATACGTTCTCAAGATGATTATCATGACAGAGATCTGTCTAATTAGGAAGAAACTATTTTAATGCTAAGATATGAAAGAGCCCAGCTGGGAGAGGAATTTAGAGGAAGACACAGAAACATGACTGTTAAGCTGACAGCAAGTGCAGCCTAAGCATGTTCCAGTGACAGCTTCTAAAAAAAAATTTCATCTCAGCATTTAATCAATAGTGGTTTCAGAACAAGTAGAGCTTTACAGATAATCTAGCTAGTCATATTAGTGGGAGGAGCTCCATAAATAATACAGAAAATAAGTCTTTGCAGAGCAACGTAGCACTTCCCTTTGGTCAGCTGAGCTAGAGGGTTATCCAGTAGATGGGCAACATGAAAAATATCACTGAGGATAAATAGGAATCCCAATCTATCAGATACCACACTTTAGGTCCTGGCACTGCCAATCAGGTTGGAAACTGCAACCATTGTGGCAGCAAGTTTCAAACCATCCTGGGCAACCCCGTAACCTTCAGAGTGGCCACCTGGGTGGAAACCTTTCTGAAAGCTCCTACTCTAATTAAATGTTTCATGCCTAAATCTATGGGTGACATGGTGGCACAGGCATCTGCTGGAAGGGGAACCTAGAGGCAGTGTGTTTATTGAATAACTTTGAAACCCAGCTAACACACTTTTGGGGTCTGCTTTCTTACATACTGGAAAGGGTTTCAGAAGATTTCTGCTGAAGGTTCTCTTGCAATGAGCAAATCAGATGTGCTTTAGTTACTACCACAAGCATTTAAATTCATCCATAGCCAAAAAAGAATAATAATGTCATTTGGAGATTAGTTAAAGCAAAGCCGCATAGTTGAGGGTTGATTGAAAACAAAAAACCCCACAAGCTCCAGGAATGAATGTATCTGTGAAATCCAACTACAGCATGGCAAAAATTCTCATGACAGCTGCGGTGGCCACAAGTTACAGCTGTCAGAACATCCAGAGCTGTAGGAGTTCTTCAAGGGATGAACCGACACTGGAGCAAAAGATGTTGCTCTAAATAGTTAAGGAAAAAATCATAAAGGCTGCAGAGGCACGTAAGAACAGAACAGTAAAGGAAGGAATGGGAGCAACAAAAACAATCAGAAAGCACGTTCAAATTGCAAAAGGTGGAGATTTAAGGCATTGCAGGAAGAGGAGTGATCGCCATGTGTAAATACAAACAAACCCAAAACACACTCTCAACACGCTTTCTAGCTTGTATGTTTCAATCTGCAGAACATGGAGAATCCAAATTAGAATTTTGAGAAAATCTCCCCGGTTGTGAACAACACTGAAAGCTCCAATTCAGCAGGTATTATAGTGGGACAGGCAAAAAAAAAAAAAAAAAAAAAAAAAAAAAAAAA